TTTGCATAATAGCTACTGCAACCAAACAAATTAATTTTTGTATTTGAGATTTTATGTTTTAGTTCGACTAGTTATATTTATTTTTAAAATCAGAATTATCTTAGTTCGGTGTCAACTTTATTTAAAATAACCAAAATAACTGAAACGGTCAAATTTAATGAGAAATATTATTATTATTGTATATATTTTTATTTATTGTGAGTGCACATTAAGGTTATACGAATTACACATTACTGACTACTGGGTTGCACGATATCGAATGGTTTCAACAAAACTAATAAATATAGTTTAAATTTTTTAATATTAGTTCAATTGCCATTGTTTTGCTTTTGAAAACTCAATTATGAGGGTTCGATATTGCTTTTTTTATTTAGATAACCGAACAACTGAACTATATAAAAATATTTATTTTATTATTATTTTCTTTTTGTAAAGTATTATTAACTTTAAGTCGCAAAAAATACAAAAATACTGAACATAAATGGAAACATTAAAATATTAAGTATAGTTTGTTTAATTATAAATTGAACCATGAACTAAATTGTAACACATAAACATTGTTGAAATTGCACCTATTCCCATAAGACTTTTCAAATTTACTCTTAAGGGAATTAGATATCCGAATATCTAAGACTTACCAAATAATTAACTAGGTAAATAGGCACAAGTCTTTATTCCAAATTCTAACCAAACTAGAAGTCCTAATATGCTAAGTAAATCGGCCCTCAATCTTCTTGCTTGCGCCGCACAACGTCTGCCACCCTAGCCGCCTGTCGCACGTTAATCCTCGTCCTCCGAGGCTACAGGCTCTGTCGCGTCCCACGTGTCCCTGCGACGTTCACCGTGCACTCGCTCGTCGTCCCTCCCGCGTGCTCGCCTGTCTCGCGAATGGCTGACACGCTGGCCCCCACACGCTTGCTCGCTCATTCTCGACTGATCTTGGCGCGTGCCTTCCACCCTTCAGCCCCCAGTGCGCACTGCCTGACTCTTCCGTTGCGCTCTCGCCCCTTGCGTCCTTTGCGTGCTCGACCCGCCTGTGTGTGGTCGACATGCTAGCCTCCAAGCGCCGAACGCGTCTCGCCTTCCTGCCGTCCCTACGCACGCCTTGCACCCGCGTCCGTGTCTTGCGCAATGCCCGTGTTGCTCGCCGTGTGCTCGGCGTCAGTCCACTGTATCCTCTCGCTTGGTCCTTCCTTTGTGCAGTTCTTCTTTACACGTCCCTGCCCTGCGCGCCACGTCACTCGGATGACGCGTATCGCCGGTATACGTACAACGCGATCATCCTGCGCACACCATTTCACGTGTGTCCGCGTTCTTTTCCTACGTCCCCACGGCCCGTCCCGTCTATTTGCGCCCCTTCTTTCTTGGTCTAAGAGCGTCATGTCCTCGGGCTCGGAGGGGTCGATGACCACATCTTCATCACAGCGACCATGCGTGACCCGTACGATCCCCAGTTCGTGCCAACAAGGTCTGTCGTGCCAACTCCAGTCTGTGCAAACCCGAACCTTGTTCCTGAGCCGTTAGGCCCGTTTTCAAATCAAAACCTCATTTTTCATGTTGATCTCAATTTAGCCTATTTTTAAAATAATTTTTTTGAGTTTATTTTTGTTTTGAAATTCGAGGGGTCCACATTCCACTAAAATTTCTTTGAACTCCATAATCAATTATTTGTGATTAAGTGAGAGATTTCATTAAATTTTGGAGTTATCAAGTAATTTATTTATGAAAGTTATCATGATTAAATGTAGGTTTCTGAGGAGTCGAGCCTCAAAACCTATCGAGTTGTTTTTGTGCTTTATCCTGTCTCTTCAAAACAAGTGAGTGTTGATAAACTTCACCTTGCTTTTATTCTCCATAATCACGTGATTTTATAATTGATGTATGCATGCGAACCACTAGTCTATGAGAGGATCTCCCGCGGATGGTAATGTCGGTGGTTTTCCTATTTGTTCTTAATGAGAGTGTTTTCCTGCCGATGGATGATACTGGTGGTTTGGCTCCAATCGATGGGTTATGCCGATGGTAAAGGTATGTACACATGATTGTAGGGTTGTATATGAGGTAGATGTGGTGATTTGTGTTCATGCTGAGATTATGTCTTCAGTTATTATATTGATCAAATTGCATGCTAATTCCCATGGTGAGCTTGTGTTTGCTCACCCCCATTATTTGTATGTTTTCAGGTTAAGTTGGTGGCTGCGGTGATGATGGACGAGTGTGGTCTCTTTTATTATTATGAATTGTGTTGAAATGCTTCCGCTTGATTGTTTTCTAAACATTAATATTTTGGACTATTGTGGAATGTTGCACTGTTTCACTTTAATTTCAAATTATTTGTGAATTGGTTTTCATTATGTCTCGTATTGTCGTAATGTGCTGTGAAATTGGGCTTGAGTGCCCAAGGGATTAAGTTGTGTCTTAACCTGAGTGAAAAATCAGTTTTGGATTTGAGTGATGCCCGGAAAATGGTTTTAAATTGGATAATGATTTTCGAAAAATTTATTCCTATTTTTAAAAACATTGGAATTTTCCTTTTGAAACAACAGGGCGTTACACGATGATGAGAGACCCACAATACCAAGTACGTGAATGGAAATCTCGTATACAACACAACCTTCTTACATCTTGGTAATTCAACATGTACCTGATAATACATTATATAATATTAGAGCCAATGAAATTAATAATTAATGCAGTAATAAACAGTAAACATGTGTAGCTTGAGAAATGTACCTGACTTGAGTTAATTTAGACTCAATCTCCTTATCAATTTTCTCACACACTGTATCGAGCAAACTGGTCGGCCTGTTAAGCCATTGCTTTAACACAGCGTGGGCACTCTCTATCCTACATGAGGTTGTGTTACCAAAATGTGTTACTGAAATCGTCCATGCTTTGACAAACTTTTTCTTGTAAACTAACCATGTGTGCTCCACAAATGTAACACTTTTTGAAACCTCTTCAACGACCATGCACGTCAGCTACGACACTGTTGTATTTATCCTCCATTGCCACTTCAACAACCTTTATTCAACTGCCATGCGCGAACTTCTGATTGATTTTATAATCTTTTTCTAAAAGTCCATAGGATTTGTCTTTCAAATACTTGTTGATGTGGCACGTGAAAAGTAAGTGGACAGATTCTCGAAAAATAATCTGTATAGGACTCATTATACCCAACTCTCTGTCAATGGAAAGGGATGTAGGATGTACATCAAACCCTATCAAATGTTTCAACACTGTATAACCTAGTAATAGTTGTACTTGCTCTCATCCTTCATAATTGCATATGCAATTAAGCAGTTCTTGTTGCACGGTGTCATCCCAACAATTTCCACCAATGTCATCTAGTACCTGTGAAAATGAGAGCAACAAGAGGAAACAAAGAATAAAAAACTTACTCAAACATACTAATTAAGATCCACACTAATTTTTTGTTTATAAACTAACATATCTGTTGGTTTTGTACGTCGAATCTATACCAATGTACCAATAATATGTCTGGAATAGATTGACTGCTTTGTGATGTGACATGAACAGATGTGTCAACGTCTGTACCTCCTCATTAGCGTCAACATAAACTGTATAATTACTCTCCAAAGCCAAATGCAAAAATCTTGGTAGTGACATCTCTACCTCGAAACCATCCCTCCGCAAATGATCTCTTTAGTTATACACACGTCGTCGAGTAGTGTTGCCTTTCAGGTTTTTTTTGCTAGATCACAACCTAAACTACGGCTTGTTTTGCCTGAGTAGCGGTCATATCACAGACAATATCTTTAGATGAAACGCTAAGTATGCCTATTTGTCGATAACCCTCAGGATATACAACTAAATGCATGATTATGCATTCTCCTAACACTAGGACTTACACTGATCCCCCAATATGTACATCGTGCCACCTATTGGACTGCTATCCGAAATGAGGATTTTGCACGCTTTAGTCTTTGAACTTCTAGCATCTCGATCTAAATCTACCAACACTGCCTTTGTAACGTTCACCTCACAAACACCTAACAACTCCATCCTTCCATCCTTTTCGTGTGAAGAAATCATCAGTTCAAAATTATATCGAATAGTTATTTCTTTTGTCCATGTAATAGCTTCTGCATCATTATTAAATACTTCATCCGTAACGAAACAAAATTGTAATCAATATTGTCCCCTCTGAAATCTTCAAATAACACTTGCAAATTATTATGATGTTAATAATTATATAAGATAATTAATTCTAATTTATAACATAAAAATTTCTAAGTTCTAAGATGATAATAATAATAATAATTTCGAATTTATAATATAATTAATTTTAATTATAACATAATTATTTCCAAGTTCTAACATAATAATAATAAATTTTATAAGATAATCAATTCTAATTTATAACATAATAATTTCTACTAACATAACTTCTTTAATAAATAAAATTAACTAATTAAAAAAAAAAACTGGCCACCAACCATGGTCATGGCCGGCTGCATATTGCGACAGTCGATGGTCATGGCCGGCCACCACCGCATGCGGCCGGCCGATAATAAAATAAAAAAAATTGTACCTCGTCGTCGCTCGTTTTTGCCCAAAATCGCCACTTATTCAAAGAATTTGCAATTTTTGACTTTTTGAAAACAATGCCAAGAGATAAAGTTCCAGTTTTTGGAGAGAATGTCCCTTTCTAGGGTTCCTAGTTCCATCGATTGGAGTCTCACTGATAGATTATCGCTTCTCTTCTTTTCTTCCGGGTAATCGTTCTTTGTTAGGGGTATTTGTGCTGGGGTCTTTGTTTCCTTTCTCAGTTTGGATCTGCGTATTAGGGTTAGGGTTTCCAGAGTCTGACTCGTTATTTTCTAGTCTTCTCGTCGTGGCCTTGGTGCGTCTTGTTTTGCCTTCTGTGCTTTCTGCTTGCTATTAATTGTTTGTATACCCTTGTTGCGATTTGGTATTGTTATTATTTGTTTGCCTTTTGGAGAGTTGTGTTCTCTCTTTATTTTCAGGGAATTTCTATGGGGGACGATCTCGCGGATAAGTTGCAGCAGTTCAAGTTGTCGGGTAGGGAGGCCGATGGAGTGGAATTATCTGACAAAGATATAGCCCTAGGCCTTCGAGAGTGTCAGCTTAGTTTGATTGGCAAATGTTTTGGGGAGAAAAAAGTCAACTTCAATGGATTGCTAACCACGTTGGGAAACATCTGGTTCACCCGGAAGCCTTTCCATATAAAAAATATGGGGATTAACAAATTTCAATTCTTGTTTCAATCGGAGGAAGACCGGGATAAGATTCTCAAGGGAAAGGCTTGGTCATTTGAAGGGCAGTACATTGTTCTAAATAAATGGGATCCTAGGAGCTTGGAAATCATAGAGGAGGAAGAAGTGGTCAGATTGTGGGTCCAAATCCAAAATCTTCCACTTCATTGGACCACGGCAGATTCCGGACTGAAAATTGGAAGAAAAATTGGAAAAGTCATCGATGTTCAAGCGCCTGGGATTGGCAATACAGTCGAGCAGAATATCAGAGTATTGGTGGAGCTGAAACTGAGAGAACCAATACTTTGAGGAACCTTCATCAAGTTGGGGTCAGAGAATACTTGGATTGACTTCAGGTATGAAAACTTGCAAACTCTTTGTTATTATTGTGGTAGACTAGGACATGGGGACAGAGATTGTCTAATTAAGCAAGAGGATATCAATAATAATGTGCTAAGCCTTGTGCAATATGGGGAATGGCTTAGAGTTGGGGCTTATCATGCTTTTGAGAGTAGACAGTCTCGCCATACTTCCAGTGGAAGCAATCCTGTGGGCAAATCCCCTACACCCCCTATGCACACTACCCCCCAAAAAAGTGTTCCTACGGAAACTTTT